GGTTTAACATAATAATCCTTCATGAACTCACTCTGGGGACATCATCAACTAATGCACATGGTGACCGTAAATATCCTAACAACACATATCCTACATGCATCAATATTACCCAAGACAGTGGGTCTATTGGCCCAGTTCACTAAGCCTCACCCATGTGAATCAAAGTAATAAGTACTACACATATATGTCTATTTAATATCTTATGGGTTAAGAGTATGCAGTAATTAACTGAGGCCTAGTCCGTTTACGACGATCAGTATAAAACGAACTGCTCCTCTCTGGGATCTTGTTCAATACATAAATGTACTAGTGCAACTAATCAGTCAAGACAAACTGTTTGGTTGACACTATAACCGTTCACGATGTGGTGTTCATGTCCATCTGAGTTGTGAACCAACAATTCTTGTTTCGCGAGTAACTGATAGCATGATCTTCGGTTCACCCGATGACGACCCACACTATCTAATGCAAAACAACAAAACATAGAACTTGTTTAATCTAACATGTTTCTCATTCATAAAGCGTAAAAGTGTAATATCATCCAAAGCCAAGCTTTCAGTATATAACACTAACAAGAGAAAGAAAACTAGAGAGAGAAGAGAGGAAAAACTAAAAAGAAAAAAAATAGCAAATGAGGAATTCTCCCAAATTACAAAACAAGATGTCTATTTATAGCTACACCACAAACACACACTAAAACACACACATTTAATGAAGAAAAATTCGCTGGATAGTAGGAACTCGCGAGCAAAAGGTGGATTTTCGCTATCAAAATTCGCTGGCAATGCAAGACGGGCACGGACTCGCGGGCAACAGGTGGTTTGCGGGCGCCGGCATCCGGACTCGCGAGCAGAGCAGCGTGGTGCGGGTACTTGCGGGTTAGAAGCCGTTCGCGGGCGCGAGAGCAGAACTCACGGGATGGCACATGGCGACACTCGCAAGGTAGCTGGGATTCGCGGGCTACGGTCGTTCCGCGGGCGCGAGCATGCAGACTCGCGGGCAGGAGCTTGGCACAACAGTGGACACTCGCGGGCTGATTGGCTTTCGCGCGCGCGAGTAGTGTAATTCGCGGGCTGGGTGCGCACTCGCTGTCTGTCAGTGCTTCTTGGGCGCGAACCGCTAACTCGCGGGCAGGCAATGTGAGGCTATGCGCGTGGGTCGGGTAGGTGCGAGGGTGTAGTCCCGGTCGTGGCCCGAGACGGTTCAGGTGGCTCGATCGGCTCAGTCAGGTCGGTCCGGTCTGCTCGGTTGGCTCGGCTAGGACGACTCGTTTTCTCAAGCTCGGCAAAATAGACCAAAAGACAAGAAAAACAAGTCGAACCACGAAAACATAAAACGAGAATAAAAATACACAAAACACGATAAAATGGACCGGTCGACACTAAAACGAACCTAATAATACTAAACTCAATCTTATAAAACACATGAAAATAAGCACAAAAACATAATAAAAAATATGCAATCAAGTAATCGCCACTCGTGAATCAACTAATCAAGTACTCAAGTAATTCTCGCTTAGACAATCAACAACAATATCATATATAAATCAATTTATTAATAAATAATTTTATTTTCTAGTTAATATTATTAAATAATTTAATGCTTATCATAAAATTTATATATTTTATACAAACAATATATATGGATGAGAAATTGAAGCTTATCAAATGACGGTTAGTGTGATGTTTTATATATCTAAAACTGATAAAAACTACGAAAGTTGTTAACTTTTAAATATATTTACATATCAATGGTTATAATAGGAAATGATATTAAAATATAATTAATATATCTAAAATGACCATAAGTAATTAATATGTTTATGGATAATTCGAACTAATTATTTTTTGATCGGAAGTAAATTAAAATATATCTAAGCCAAATAATAAGCATGAAAATTTTGCCACATATGACATCGAAACATACGGACCATCCACTCAAACTCAACACATTTTGTAATTATATATAAGGGGACACTATTTTTAATGCAATTTTATTTTTAAAAAAGGATATTGAATAATTTTTATGGCATGAAGGGCCTCGAATTGCGTAAATAATTTTTATAATAATAATGCAGTATTTTGTAAAGCAATATATTGGTCACGATTAGTGGTTAAATTAACGAATTCTTTGCTTGGCTCGCCTCGTTTGATAAAAGAGCCGAGCTCGAGCTCATTTAAAGCTCGTTTAATTAAATGATTCGTCAAGGCTCGAAAAGAGAATTTTTATCTAAAATTTCTATTATTAAACTCGTTAAAGCTCGAGATCAGCTCGAACTCGGCCGGTTATGAGTGGTAAACGAGACGAGCTCGAGCTCGATTTCAGGCTCGTTTTTAGGCTCGTTTATATAAGTTCGGCTCCTTAAGGACTTGAGTACAAGCTCGAGCACCCTAAGCTCGAGCTTATCTCGACTGGTTTACAGACTATATGACGATTTCTTGAATAATACAACTGAATTGCATCTATTATTTTCAAATATTAATAAATGTTTTTGTTTTTAGTAAAAAAAAAAATGAATCGATGAAAAAGATCTAATAAAAATTCGTTATTAACATGTACAAATCAACAAACTACCGATTCCTTGTAAGTCAGTCCAAATGAAATTCGAGTCTAATCCATTTGCTTGCAAGTTGACATTTTGACTATGAAACGCGCATGTATACATATTTCTGGGTCAAGCGAATTCTGCTGCTTCTTTAAACTTGTTAGTAAATTACTTGAATAATTAGTTAGAATATATTTAATTTGTCCACTACCGAAATGAATTAGAACAGATCAAAATAATTCCAATGATGAACTTTTTATTATAAATTCGTACTATAAGTTAGTTTTATATGAAAAATATTATTTCATCATCTAAATACTAACTTCTAGCGATAAATTAAGAATTTCATGATGAAGTTTTTATTATAAGGTGACGAGGTTAACGTCAGTGAAAGTTAATTTTTAAATTTGTAATAACAAATTAGGTAATGTCATATGTATACTTTAACGTGGTTACGGTGATATATAATGTCAGGGGCGGATCTAGATCATAATATCAGTTGTGGCCTACTTATTTCTAGAATATAGTACCCCATAATAAAGTATAAATACAAAATAAACATTAATAGAAATTCTTATGAGTTTTCATAGCTTGGTACGACTCTACAATAAGGTCTTTACATTTTTTTTTCGTCCTAACAATATTATGATTCACCTCAAGTATATTGGAATAAAAGTAGCTAATTTTAAAATATTTTCACATGTATTTTTTTGTCAAGACTATTTATAAGAATATTTCTCCAAAAATAGATAGATAAAATAAATCATAATGTATAAAATGTTTTATCTAATATATCAAACTTCTAAGAGCCGTACAATTTATCAGTCACACACAAATTTAAATATGTTGTCTTTTAAGAAACAACATTAAACTAAATACAAGTTTAAATTTTTAATTTTTATATCAAATCTAATAAAAAAAAAGACTTGATTCACTTTCACCAAAATAAACAACAACAATGTTTTTTTCCATTCTTTTTTCCCCTTCTTTGTGTTCCCATTGTTTTTTATTTATTTATTTATTTATTTTATTAATTGAATATTAAACTATTTTTGAGTAGAATATATAAGGTAGTAATTTTTTTTCCAGTGTGGGCCTAAGCCCATACTGATCCTTATTACGATCCGCCACTGTATAGTGTGACGAAAAACTTCGTCGTTGTATACTTTCAGGGACGACAAAAAAAAAAAAAAAAGATCATTACAACACATTACACATCTTCGTCGTAAAATATGAAATTTCTTGAATTGTTATCCTATCGCAGAAGTACAACCACCCTCTAGTTGACCCCGAACTACATCAAACGATTTTCTTCATAAAGAATTAGAAATATTATAATTTAACCAATCAAAGATTCCTTCCATTGATTCTGAAACGCGCATATACACCGTGGTCAAGGGTCAAGAAATATCTGGTCCTTTTAATTTTGAATATCTTAGGATATTTTAGTGGGAAAAATTCAAAACTAGTCCCACAGCTATAGGGGTGACATTTTTAGTCCCAACGGAATCCAGAAAATATTAATAGTCCCGCAACTTCTAAAAATGATCACAAGTAGGACTTTTATTAATTTTCCAGCCCAGAAAGCCACGCCGCACACACGTGGCCACATTTATCTGACGTGGCTGAGTACAAAGCCAAGGGAAAAAATCAAAACTAGTCCCACAGGTCTTGGGAAGTGACATTTTTTGTCTCAACAGAATCCAGAAAATATTAAATAGTCCCGCCACGTGTGTGTGACGTGGCTTTCTGGGTTGAAAAATTGAAAAAAGTCCTACTTTTGATCATTTTTTAAAAGCTGCGGGACTATTAATATTTTCTGGATTCCGTTGGGACCAAGAATGTAACCCCCTATACCTGTGGGACTAGTTTTGAAATTTTTCCATATTTTAGTTGTCCTTTTAATTTTGAATATCTTAGGATATTTTAGTTTTGTGAAAATAGTAACAGATCAAAATAAATCTATAACCATAATACAATATATTAGCTCCAATAATTAATAAAAAGGACAAATATTGAACAACTCTTGAATTTAAATAGAATAATATTTACCTTGATTAATTCAGTTTAATTACCAGTCAGTATTGAGATATTGCATCTTACATATACTAATACTCGTATGCCATGCGTCTACGTGTGGAGTGTTTCTTTCCTTAGGAAAATAGAAAAGCCGTTTTTGAAGATGGAAAAGGTCAAAATAACGGCAATTGGATATTACCACGTCAGGACCTGGCCTTGTACATATACCTGTTCAAATTAATATACTATTGTACTCACTAATCCTTGGCCTATATATATGCAAAGAATCGAATTGTTGGAAACACAAATTAAATTTTTTATAAGCCAATACAACAAGAACAACAACTAACATCATCATCATCATCTATATTATTATTCATTAATTATAATGGATATCTCTTATTCGTATTTCATCAAAGTAGGTTGTTCTTTTCTGATGATTTTTGTATACGCAACTTCATCCCAAAATACTAGGTGTCCATTTCAATATTTGTACCATTTTGGAGATGGGGTGACTGACGTGGGCAACTCCATTCTGGATCTCCCATGGGGGCCTTCACTTCCGGCTGCACGTTCGCCTTATGGTCGAACCTTTCCCGGTTGGCCTACTGGCCGCTGGGGTGATGGTCTTATTGATTTTGATTATGCAGCTGCTGAGTTTGGATTTCCACATATAACTCCCTCTTTGTCGAGCAATGCTAGCTCTAGCAACGGAGTCATATTCTCAGTAGCAAGAAGTCCAGTCCTCGACCACACGTTTTTCAAATCGAGAGGCGTCAAAATTCCAACGTATGCGGTTCCTCTTAGCCTTCAACTAAGTTGGTTTAAAGCACACCTAAAATCCGTTTGCACATCGCCAACAGGTAATTAATTATATTAGTGCAAATATATTTATGTGTGTGTGTGTGTGTGTGTGTGTTAATCGACCTTCTAAAATATAATATAATTCATTAATTATATTTGTTTCTGTATGATCAGACTGTGCAAATAGGTTGGGAAATTCTCTAATACTGCTGGGAGATATTGAAGCCAATGACGTGGGTTACTCACTGATTCAGGGCAAATCAATTAGAGAAGTACGGACTTATGTACCTTACATAACAGAAGCTCAAATACGTGCGACAAGAGTAAGTACTACTATATATTTTCAAGTAATTAACTAATTATATGTATAAACAAAATCTTTTCAGCACTAACCAAATTAATTTAACTGAATATATATTGATGCATAATGCAGGAGCTTATCAACATGGGTGCGAGGCATATAGTAATTCCTGGAAATGCTATAATTGGTTGCTTTCCATATATCTTAACTGCAATGCGTAGCAATCATCCCGACGCTTACGATAATATGGGTTGTCTTAAAAGTGTAAATGATCTAATCGCATATAAAAACGACAATCTCCAAGCAGCTATGAGAAATCTGAGCAAAGAGTTCCCAGAAGTTAGCATAATGTATGGCCCGATGGACGAAGGCATGCGACAAGTCATAACCGAGACATTAGCAGGCCAGTATTTGTCTTTTATTATTATTATTATTATTATTATTATTATTATTATTCATTGTGCTTATTTCAAAATTAATTTCACTCTTAAAATAATTGTTTCAATATTTTTCTTGTAAACTAACGATTATTAATTATGTTATTTGGAACGTACAGGCCCGTTTAGAAACACAACACTGCAAGCTTGTTGTGGAATTGGAGGAAAATACAACTACAATAGCAGAAGGTTTTGTGGGAGTCGGGGTGTGCCTGTTTGCTCCAATCCAAACAATTACATATTCTGGGATGGTTTGCACATGACGCAAGAAGCCTCGCTTCGAATCGTTAGGATTCTCATTCAGCCCGCACTTTCTACACTAAATTGTGCAACATAATTTTGTGTCGTATGCACCAAGCCAACCAATTGAATATTTACTAGATAGCTAGATGCTGCAAATTAATCCGCGTCAAACAATACATCTGCTATTTTGTCTCTTCTGTTTATTTTCTAATGGATGTAATATTTTAATTATTTTTCATTCAAAAGTTGTATGTGAATTCGAATTTCACAAATACATATTGACGTGCAATTTAGTTCTTCATTCATATGTTATATATTGTTAATTTACAATAAACCAGGGGCGAAGCCAGCCTCAAATTTCACCGGGGTCGGCAATATTTTTTAGCGGGGTCATTAACCTAGTAAACAGTGTTTAAACAGTATTTTATATTAAAAATTTTGAAATCCATAGGGGTCAGCTGACCCCAGCAAGAAAGTGTGGCTCCGCCACTGCAATAAACCATAGTCTCATAGACTTGCAATTTCTAGGAAATAAAATCATTTGTCTAATTGACTTAATTTTTATGTAGCGAAATGGAATTTCAAGGTTGATAGACAACATTTTGTAGTTTAAATAAATACTAAAGATTAATTAACAATGTATGGTATTCTTATATTATAATTGTACGCTATAACAAAGATATATAGAAGCAAATATGCTACAATATATTAATTCATATATGTTTCATAAAAAAAATATTATTCTAATTCAAATTGCAATTCAATATTGAATTCGAATAAAAAACAAATTAAAAAATAGTAAATTGAACCACAATCCTAGTTCGGAGTGACTCAACCGTTGGTAGGTAATAAAACTCTAACATAGTACGTGCATGGTGATATATTTTTCTAAGACACATCAAAATTTTTTTATTATTCATAACATCCAAATTTACAAACCCATTTTTTATGATGTATAATAGTTTAATATGTGATTTATAAGGTTATAACAGGATTGTCATTTTAATGTTCATGTTTACAATCAAGTAATATTAAGTATGGGAACATTTTTTGTCGTTGGTACGTAGCCGCGTGCGCGTCCAACAAGACCCGATGTTATGTATGTTTTTGTTGTTATTCTATCTATTTTTAGGTGTTATATTTGTCTTCGTTTTAGGTTATTCAAGGTTTTTTCCAGTCCATTTAATCATTTTTTTCTTGTTTTTGTGTTTTCATATCGTTTTAGTTTTTTGTGCTTTTTATTTATCTTTAATTTAATCTTTTATTTTTTAGGAATTTGCGTTTCGGAGAGTCACCGATAAACTCGCCAGATTAGTTGTAGGAGAGTCCCCAGCCTGTCGGCACGGTAAATGCCTGGTAGACCCTAGTCCTGCCGCAGCCTAGCGACCCATGCGCTTGCAGAGACCCGTGCCGGCGAAGTTAGATTCGTGTTGTGCCAAGAGACCCGCACCTCGCCCGCATATGCCTAGCCCCGTTGCCGAGAGACTCTGAACGCAATCAACAACAAAACCTCATAATTCCTACCCTTCGATATGATAGCTTACTTTACTCATAAAAAGTGCCGAATATACTTAATAAGATTTACCAAAAATATAACTAACGAAAGTCAAAGTAACTTAAGAGATCTTCAACCGTAGACTAAATCTCGAAGTTTTTGTTCGCATCGACAAACAAAAATAAACCGGAAAGCTGAAATCTTGTCGGAGAATTAAACTAACAAAAGTTGGTTCTTTGAGCCCATAATTTTATCGAGGGAAAGTTACAAAGAGGAAAAGAGAAAAAAAAA